TTTGAGGAGAGGACAGTCGGGTGTCGGGTGTTATTTTTGGGAGATTGTGAAGTGACAGTCGGGTGTCGGGTGTTTTTGTTGGTATGATTGTGAGAGTGACAGTCGGGAGTCTGGTGTTATTGTTGGTATGATTGTGAGAGTGACAGTCAGGAGTCTGGTGTTATTGTTGGTATGATTGTGAGAGTGACAGTCAGGAGTCTGGTGTTATTGTTGGTATGATTGTGAGAGTGACAGTCGGGAGTCTGGTGTTATTGTTGGTATGATTGTGAGAGTGACAGTCGGGAGTCTGGTGTTATTTTTGGGTATATTGTGAGAGGGGACAGTCGGGAGTCTGGTGTTATTGTTGGTATGATTGTGAGAGTGACAGTCGGGAGTCTGGTGTTATTGTTGGTATGATTGTGAGAGTGACAGTCGGGAGTCTGGAACTTTACAGGTCAAATCTTCATATGTGTAAATTATGTGTTTTTCTAAAATTTCGTTTAATATATATATATATTTTTTTTGCATATAACTATTTCGAAACTCAGTAATATATAGGACACGTAATAAAACATTAGTTACGTATTTCATAAGTATTATGACAGTATTATTCTGTCGCAAAAAAAATGCATAAATGTCTGTATTTCAGGTCAGGTTCAAGGTAGTGTGGTGGTCAGGGTTAAGGTAGCGTGGTGGTCAGGGTTAAGGTAGCGTGGTGTCGGGTTAAGTTAGCGGGTGGTCAGGTTAAGTACGTGGTTTCAGGTTTTAAGTAGTGTGGTGGTCAGGTTAGTATGTGGTGTCAGGGTTTAAGTACGTGGTTGTAAAGGGTTTTAAGGTAGTGTGGTGGTCGGTTTAAAGGTATGTGGTGGTCAGGTTAAGGTAGCTGTGGTCAGGGTTTAAGGCCCAGCGTGTGTCGGGGTTTAAGGGTAGCGTGTGGCCAGGTTAAGGTATGTGGTGGTCGGGTTTAAGTAGTGTGTTGGTCAGGTTTAAGGTACGTGGTTGTGGTAGGTAGTTGGTTGGTCAGGGTTAAGGTAGCGTTGTGGTCGGGGTTTAAAGGGTATTTTGGGTTTCAGGGTTTAAGGTACGTGGTGTCAGGTTTAAGGTGTGTGGTGGCAGGTTAAGGTGGTGGTGTCAGGTTAGGTAGTGTGTTGGTCAGGTTAAGGTAGCGGGTTGTCGGTTTAAGGTAGTGTGGTGGTCGGGTTTAAGGGTAGGCGTGGGGGTTCAGGGTTAAGGTAGTGTGGTGGTCAGGGTTAAGGTAGCGTGGGGTCAGGGTTAGGTAGCGTGGTTGTCGGTTAGGTGCGTGGTGTCAGGGTTTAAGGAGCATGGTGGTCAGGGTTAAGGTAGCTGGTGGTCAGGTTAAAGGGTAGCGGGGTGGTCAGGGTTAAGGTAGCGTGGTGGTCAGGGTTAAGGTAGCGGGGGGTGGCAGGTTAAGGTAGCGTGGTGGTCAGGGTTAAGGTAGCGTGGTGGTCAGGGTTAAGGTAGCATGGTGGTCAGGGTTAAGGTAGCGTGGTGGTCAGGGTTAAGGTAGCGTGGTGGTCAGGTTAAGGTAGCAGGGTGGTCGGGGTTAAGTAGTTTTGGTGGTCAGGGTTAAGGTAGCGGGGTGGTCGGGGTTAAGGTAGCATGGTGGTCAGGGTTAAGGTAGTGTGGTGGTCGGGGTTTAAGGTACGTGGGGTCGGGGTTTTAAGGTAGTGTGGTGGTCGGGGTTTTAAGGTAGCGTGGTGGTCAGGGTTAAGGTAGCGTGGTGGTCAGGGTTAAGGTAGCGTGGTGGTCAGGGTTAAGGTAGCGTGGTTGTCAGGGTTAAGAGTGGGGGTTTTGTCGGGGTTTAAAGGGTAGTGTGGTGGTCCGGGGTTAAGGTAGCGTGGGGTCAGGGTTTAAGGTAGGCGTGGTGGTCAGGGTTAAGGTAGCGTGGTTGTCAGGGTTAAGGTAGTGTGGTTGTCAGGGTTAAGGTAGTGTGGTTGTCAGGGTTAAGGTAGTGTGGTGGTCAGGGTTAAGGTAGCCTGGTGGTCCGGGTTGAGGGGGGGTTCAGACATCGAGCCAGGCAAGAGACGAAAAAATCGAAAAAAATCGAAAAATGAGTTAATCTTACCGAAAAATAGCTCAACAATCTGGCAACATTTTGGTGTATGTCTCGTCTCTGTACGATAATTAGGTAAAAAGTTATCGTGATTTTAGTAATTGGGGTAATTACGTCATTATCGTGACTCACGCATACGTGTAGTTCGTTTATTGTAATTTTCTTGTCATTTTTAGCTTTTTTCCGTAATTTTTTCTTATGTTTTTGTGCCAAATGCTTCAAATTACTCATTGGTAACTCTCATGGTGGCTGTGGAAAGGAGCTCTACCCTCCACACCAACCTCAGTGCCGACCAAGCGTCACGTACAAGTGGAGTCAAGCTCCTTTGATTCACCGCGCAGCTCCCTTGGGACACGTATTTTCGCCGTCAATTCTACATATTTTTGCACCACAATGCCTCGTAAGAAGAGTATTCATTCATTGAACATGAACAAGGCTGTGAGGTTGAGGATGCAAAGACTGCGGATGTTGAAAAAGCTAAAACGAGATGCAGCGAAGGCAGCAGCAAGTGACGCCACGACGCCATCACTACCCTCTGACTCCTCAGAAAATGAAGAATTAGTTTCAACTGGTGAACTTCTGAATATTTCTCCAGTCAAGGCATGTGCTAAGAAAACCAAGGGAAAAAGGAAGAGTGTGGCCAGGAAGTCCAGGGCCACTCCAGATGTGGCCACCACGTCCGGGGCCACTCCAGATGTGGCCACCACGTCCGGGGCCACACCAGATGTGGCCACCACGTCCGGGGCCACACCAGATGTGGCCACCACGTCCGGGGCCACACCAGATGTGGCCACTTCAATCCGCAAACCTACAACATCGAGAAAGCGGAAACGAAGTGACGTATCTGTGGCCACCACAGTGGCCACATTGATCAACCCTACGCCTATATATGCTGTATAGCCCTTGTGGCTTAGCGCTTCTTTTTGATTATAATAATAATAATACGCCTATATATACATCTCTCGTCACCAACCCACAGTTACGTATGTGACGACCTCACCACGTATGACTGTAACCTCTGTGACGACTGCAGATGTGGCCGCCCAACTTGTGGCCACTGAAGATGTGGCCGCCCCACATGTGGCCACTGAAGATGTGGCCGCCCCCACAGCTGTCGCCAGCACGTCGACGGCTGCTGACGCCAACACGTCGACGGCTGCTGACGCCAGCACGTCGTCAGCTGCTGACGCGAGTGCGAGTGAAAGTGTTTGTGGTGTATCAAGTGCCAAACGACGAGTGTCGATGTATGAAAAGATAACTGTTGTTGTTGCGAAGAAAATGATAAGTATGGAAGATGATAGGTTTGATGAACTTTTGTCATTTGTTCACTGTACCGAGTGTTTATCTAGGAAGATAAAATTTACATATTATAACCATCACTTAGAAACTGTTATTGCTATGTCGTGTACCGAGTGTAACGCTGTTTTAGTGAAAAAGCCATATGGTATTAGTAAGCAGCTGAATAATTTGACAGGTCGAATGGTGTATGGTGAAATGGTGACTGGTGGAGGCTACAACTCATTTATTCGTAGAAATGCCTTGTGTAACCTACCTTCTATGACTCTCCAAACATTCAACAGATACACAAGCATGATTACACGGGCATCCATTCAGTCTTGCAACAGAATTCTAGTTGAAACAAGGGCAATTGTTCGTAAGGAATATGCCAAACAAGACACTTTGGCAGACGCACGTGGAGTTGTTGATATTGATGTGACGTATGATGGCACGTGGCATACTAGGGGCCATCATTCTAATTTTGGCATTGGTGTGGCTATTGATGCCGTGACAAAGCTTGTAGTTGACTATCAAGTGTTGTGTAAATTTTGTTTCATGTGTGTCAGTATCGAAAATCGTTTGAAAAAGAAGAGAATTACTGTGGAAACGTATGAAACATTGAAAGAAAAACATGAAAGCAAATGCAACAAAAACTTTTCCGGCTCCTCAGGAAGAATGGAGGTAGAAGCTGCCCTCATCATTTGGCAAAGATCAGTGAAGCAGAAGTTGAGGTTCAAGACCATAGTGTCTGATGGTGATGCTGCAACCTACAAAGGAATTATTGAACTCAATGATGGTGCTGGTCCATACGAAGGTTTACAAGTTACAAAAGAAGAGTGCATCAACCATTATGCAAAGCGGCTGAAAAATAGATTGACAAGCTTGGTAAAAATGCACTACACTGAAAAACAACTGAGAACTGGAAAAAAGAGGAAGGAGTATCACCTGAAGAGGAGAGGGCTGTTGTCAGATTTCATGATTGACAAGCTTGCTCAGTATTTTCAGAAGAACCTATGGGACAATTGTGGAACTGATGCTGAAACTATGAGGAATGGAATACTTGCAAGCTTTTTTCACTGTTCCTCCACAGACGACAACCCACACCACCACCTTTGTCCACCTGGTTCTGCTTCATGGTGTTTTTACCAGAAGGCACTGGCAGATAACCTACCACCACCATCCCACGAAAACATGAAAGTGAGCTTTCAGCTACAACCTGACTACTTCAATAAGGTGCATGAAATCTACAAGGACCTCACCCAAGATGACATGATGGAACGATGCATACAGGGACGAACACAAAACCCAAATGAAAGCCTTCACCAAAGAATATGGTCCTATTGCAACAAAGCCCTGTATAAAAATAAGTGGCAAGTTGATTTCGCCGTCAGCCACGCCATAGCAGATTACAATGTAGGATACGAAAGAAGTTGTTTGGATATACGACTTGGGTATGGGCGTTCCTCATTGAACCAAAAACGCCTGATGGCTATGGACAAAAAGATGCAGAGACCCAAAGCTCGAAGAAGCAAGAAGAGGAAGAGCGTGGTGGACACCTCCTATGAGGCTGGAGGCCATTAGATGATCCATGTCCATGCCTACTCTTCATCAAAGGTAAATAATTCATGCGAATTTGTTGTTTAATTGTATGTGTATGTTTATAAATATTGTATATATGTATATTTACACATCTTTTGTACATAATCATTGGCAATACGATGTTTAGTGTGCATTTCCTTCTTTCCAGTTTGATGTGTATGGACCGTCATGATTGGCCAATCTGCAAAGGACTTCAGGATGGATGGAGGGATCTGCATGGAACTTCAGAAATATGTTATATATGCTCACTTCTACTCCTAATAAACATAAGAAGCCACATGGAATATTTTTACCCACCATAAGCTAAGTCTCAATGTATTATTCCATTTTTCTGGAAAGTCCATTTTCTTCAATTTTAGGGGAGCTCCTCCCTTATTATTGAACCGATCTTTATAAATTTTACAGGATTTATTCACGGAACATTGTTCTATAACATGGATGGTACCTTTTGATAAAAATCCTTACCATTTTTGTATACCATGGGTGTAAAATGCAAAAATTGTCCCAAAACATGTCAAGGCATCTTCACAATTTTTTTGGGGTACTATAAAAGATTATATTGCATGATTGCTTTCTGACAAAAAATCTGTTTGGCATTAATTAATAATTTAATGTTATAAAAAATAACTTCGATATTGCCATATTGCCACATTGCCATATTAAGTGCGGCCATATACAATTTCTCACATTTTATTTTTTTATGTCGTTATTTATTGAACGATCTTGATTAAAAAAATACACAGTGTAGTCTCACATGCCTAGATTCTGTGGTAAAAATTTCAGTGAAATCGTACAGAGGGAAGTGAACATAAATATTTGGTGGTCAGGGTTAAGGTAGCGTGGTGGTCAGGGTTAAGGTAGTGTGGTGGTCAAGTTCAAGGTAGCGTGGTGGTCAGGGTTAAGGTAGCGTGGTGGTCAGGTTCAAGGTATCGTGGTGGTCAGGGTTAAGGTAGCGTGGTGCTCAGGTTCAAGGTAGCGTGGTGGTGAGGTTCAAGGTAGCGTGGTGGTCAGGGTTAAGGTAGCGTGGTGGTCAGGGTTAAGGTAGCGTGGTGGTCAGGGTTAAGGTAGTGTGGTGGTCAGGTTCAAGGTAGCGTGGTGGTCAGGGTTAAGGTAGCGTGGTGGTCAGGTTCAAGGTAGCGTGGTGGTCAGGGTTAAGGTAGCGAGGTGGTCAGGGTTAAGGTAGCGTGGTGGTCAGGTTCAAGGTAGCGTGGTGGTCAGGGTTAAGGTAGCGTTGTGGTCAGGGTTAAGGTAGTGTGGTGGTCAGGGTCAAGGTAGCGTGGGTGGTTCAGGTTAAGATAGTGTGTGGTCAGGTCAAGTAGCGTGTGGTCAGGTTAAGGTAGCCAGTGGTCAGGTAAGGTAGCGTGGTGGTCAGGGTTAAGGTAGCGTGGTGGTCAGGGTTAAGGTAGCGTGGTGGTCAGGGTTAAGGTAGCGTGGTGGTCAGGGTTAGGGTAGCTTGGTGGTCAGGGTTAAGGTAGCGTGGTGGTCCGGGTTAAGGTAGCGTGGTGGTCAGGGTTAAGGTAGCGTGGTGGTCAGGGTTAAGGTAGCGTGGTGGTCAGGGTTAAGTACGTGGGTGGTCAGGGTTAAGGAGCGTGTGGCAGGGTTAAGGTAGTGTGGTTTGTCAGGGTTAAGGTATCGTGGTGGTCAGGGTTAAGTACGTGGTGGTCAGGGTTAAGGTAATCGTGGTGTGTCAGGGTATAAGGTATGTGGTGGTCAGGTTAAGGTAGGCGAGGTGGTCAGGGTTAAGTAGCGTGTGGTCAGGGTTAATGTTAGTGTGGTGGTCAGGGTTAAGGTAGCGTGTTGTCAGGTTTAAGGTAGCGTTGGTGGTCAGGGTTAAGTAGCGTGGTGGTCAGGTTAAGGTAGCTGGTGGTCAGGGTTAGGTAGCGTGGTGGTCAGGTTAAAGGTAGCGTGGTGTCAGGGTTATCTGGAAGTGTGGTGGGTCAGTAAGGTAGCGTGGTGGTCACGGTTAAGGTACGTGGTGGGTCATTTTAGGTAGCGTGGTGGTCAGGGTTAAGGTAGCGGTTGTGGTCCAGGGTTAAGTAGCGTGGTGGTCAGGGGTTAAGGTACGTGGTGGTCAGTGGTTAAGTATGCGTGGTGATCAAGGTTATGTCGGTGTTTGTGAGGGTAAGGTAGCGTGGTGTCAGGGTTCAGGTAGCGTGGTGGTCCAGGGTTAAGGTAGCGTGTGGTCATGGTTAAGGTAGCGTGGTGGTCACGGTTAAGTTAGCGTGGTGGTCAGGTTAAGGTATGCGTGGTGTCAGGGTAAGGAAGCGTGGTGTCAGGTTAATGTAGCGTGGGTGGTCAGGGTTAAGGAAGCGTGGGTGGTCAGGGGTTAAGGTAGCGTGGTGGTCAGGGTTAAGGTACATGGAGGTCAGGGTTAAGGTAGCTGTGTGTTCAGTTAAGGTAGCGTGTGGTCAGGGTAAAGTGCGTGGTGGTCAGGTTCAAGGTAGCGTGGTGGTCAGGGTAAGGTAGCCAGTGGTCAGGGTTAAGGTAGCGTGGTGGTCAGGGTTAAGGTAGCGTGGTGGTCAGGTTTAAGGTAGCGTGGTGGTCAGGGTTAAGGTAGCGTGGTGGTCAGGGTTAGGGTAGCTTGGTGGTCAGGGTTAAGTGTAGCGTGGTGGTCACGGGTTACAGGTTAGCGTGTGGTCAGGTTAAGGTAGCGTGTGGTCAGGTAAGGTAGCGTGGTGGTCAGGGTTAAGGTAGCGTGGTGGTCAGGGTTAAGGTAGCGTGGTGGTCAGGGTTAAGGTAGTGTGGTGGTCAGGGTTAAGGTAGCGTGGTGGTCAGGGTTAAGGTAGCGTGGTGTCAGGGTTTTAAGGGTAGCGTGGTGGTCAGGGGTTAAGGTATTGGTGGTCAGGATAAGGTAGCGTGGTTGTCAGGGTTAAGGTACGTGGTGTACAGGGTTAAGGTAGTGTGGTGGGTCAGTGTTAAGGTAGCGTGGTGCAGGTTAGGTAGCGTGGTGTCAGGGTTAAGGTAGCGGTGGTTCAGGGTTAAGGTAGCGTTGGTCAGGGTTAAGGTAGCGTGGTGGTCAGGGTTAAGGTAGCGTGGTGGTCAGGGTTAAGGTAGTGTGGTGGTCAGGGTTAAGGTAGCGTGGTGGTCAGGGTTAAGGTAGCGTGGAGGTCAGTTTTAGGTAGCGTGGTGGTCAGGGTTAGGTAGCCGGGTTGGGTCAGGTTAAGGTAGCGTGGTGGTCAGGGTTAAGGTAGCGTGGTGGTCAGGGTTAAGGTAGCGTGGTGATCAAGGTTAAGGTCGTGTGGTGGTGAGGGTTAAGGTAGCGTGGTGGTCAGGGTTAAGGTAGCGTGGTGGTCAGGGTTAAGGTAGCGTGGTGGTCAGGGTTAAGGTAGCGTGGTGGTCAGGGTTAAGGTAGCGTGGTGGTCACGGTTAAGGTAGCGTGGTGGGGTCCCCAGGTTAAGGAAGCGTGGTGGTCAGGGTTTAAAGGTAGCGGTGGTCAGGGTAAGTTAGCGAGGGTGGTCAGGGTTAAGGTAGCGTGGTGGTCAGGTTAAGGTAGAATGGTGGTCAGGTTAAGGTAGCGTGGTGTTCAGGGTTAAGGAGCGTGGGGTCAGGGATTAAGGAGCGTGTGTGGTCAGGGTTAAGGTAGCGTGGTGGTCAGGGTTAAGTATGTGGTGGTCAGGTTAAACGTAGCGTGGGGTCGGGGTTAAGGTAGCGTGGTGTCAGGGTTTAAGTAGCGGGTGGTCAGGGTTAAGGTAGTGATGTGGTCAGGGTTAAGGTAGCGTGGTGGGTCAGGTTAAGGTAGCGTGGTGGTCAGGTTAAGGTAGTGTGGTGGTCAGGGTTAAGGTAGCGTGGTGGTCAGGGTTAAGGTAGCGTGGTGGTCAGGGTTAAGGTAGCGTGGTGGTCAGGGTTAAGGTAGCGTGGTGGTCCAGGGTTAAGGTTAGCGTGGTGTCAGGGTTTAAGGTAGCGTGTGGTCAGGGTTAAGGTAGCGTGGTGGTCAGGGTTAAGGTACGTGGTGGTCAGGTAATGTAGCGTGGTTTCAGGGTTAAAGGTAGCGGGTGGGCAGGGTTAAGGTGGCGTGGTGGTCAGGGTTAAGGTAGCGTGGTGATCAGGGTTAAGGTCGTGTGGTGGTGAGGGTTAAGGTAGCGTGGTGGTCAGGGTTAAGGTAGCGTGGTGGTCAGGGTTAAGGTAGCGTGGTGGTCAGGGTTAAGGTAGCGTGGTGGTCACGGTTAAGGTAGAGTGGTGGTCAGGTTAAGGAAGCGTGGTGGTCAGGGTAAGGTAGCGTGGTGGTTCAGGGTTAAGGTAGCGTGGTTCAGGGTTAAGTAGCGTGGTGGTCAGGGTTTAAGGTAGCGTGGTGGTTGGGTAAGGTACGTGGTGTCAGGGTTAAGGTAGCGTGTGGTCAGGGGTTAAGGTAGCGTGTGGTCATGGGGGGGGGGGGGGGGGGGGGGGGGGGGGGGGGGGGTGTTAAGGTAGTGTGGTGGTCAGGGTTTTAAGGTAGCGTGGTGGTCAGGGTTAAGGTAGCGTGGTGGTCAGGGTTTACGGTTAGCGTGGGTGGTCAGGGTTTAAGGTAGCGTGTGGTCAGGGTTAAGGTAGCGTGGGGTCAGGGTTAAGGTAGCGTGGTGGTCAGGGTTAAAGGTAGCGTGGTGGTCAGGGTTTAAGGTAGCGGTTGGTCAGGGTTCAGGTAGCGTGGTGGTCAGAAGGGGGTGGTAAAGTAGCGTGGGGGTCATGGTTAAAGTAGTGAGGTCGAGGTTAAGGTAGCGTGGTGATCAGGGTTAGGTCGTGTGGTGGTCAGGTTAAGGTAGCGGGTGGTCCAGGGTTAAGGTAGCGTGTGGTCAGGGTTAAGGTAGCGTGGTGTCAGGGTTAAGGTATCGTGGTGGTCCACGTTAATGGTACGTGGTGGTCAGGGTTAAGGAAGCGTGGTGGTCAGGGTAAGTAGCGTGGTTGTCAGGTAAGTAGCGTGGTGGTCAGGGGTTAAGGTAGCTTGGTGGTCAGGGTTAAGGTAACGTGGTGGTCAGGGTTAAGGAAGCGGGTGTCAGGTTTAAGGTAGCGTGTGGTCAGGGTTAAGGTAGCGTGGTGGTCAGGGTTTAAGGTAGTCGTGGTGGTCAGGGTAAGGTAGCGAGGTGGTTAGGGTTAAGGTAGCGGGTGGTCATGTTTCAAGGGTACGTGGTGGTCAGGTTAGGTAGCGTTGTGGTCAGGGTTAAGGTAGTGTGGTGTCAGGGTCAAGTAGCGTGTGGTTCCAGGGTTTAGGATAGTGTGTGGTCAGGGTTAAGGTAGCGTGGTGGTCAGGGTTAAGGTAGCGTGGTGGTCAGGGTTAAGGTAGCGTGGTGGTCAGGGTTAAGGTA